GAAACTATAGAACTAAATAATGCAATCAATAATTTAGACTTAACAGACATATAGAATATTTCATCCATCAATGAGCGAATATACTTTCTTCTGAGCAGCACATGGCCCCTTCTCTAAAATAGACCATACCTTATGCCACAAAGCAACTCTTAGTAAGTACAATAAAACAGAGATAATACCCCCACAGTCTATCAGACCACAATGAAATGAAATTAAAAATCAACAATAAAATAACATATACAAGCTACTGTAACAAATGGAGATTAAATAACACACTATTGAATGCTGAAAGGATATTAGAAGAAATCAGGGATGAAATTAAAAATTTCTTAGAGATAAATGAGAACACTGATACAACATATCAAAATCTCTGGGACACTATGAAGGCAGCACTAAGAGAAAAATTTGTTGCAGTGACTGCCTTCATTGAAAGAATAAAAAGTCAATAAACAAATGACCTGCGGCAGTCCGGCTGCAGCAGAATAACCAGGGGGTGACGAACAACTTGTGAACGTTGATACAGCAGGAGTGGAAGCCGTTTATTACAGGACAGGAGCAGTATTTATACATTCCACACAGCTTATCTAATTAGCATAAACTAGATACATCAGTCAACCAATCAGGAATCTCCACACATAATGGCTTGCTTTTGTTACTTCTCAAACCACTCCCTCTGGCATTTTGCCAGGCACCATCCAGACTTGTTTATGAACATTCCCCTGGCAAATTGCCAGGTGTTATTTTGACTTGTTTACAGACTCTAACAATGACCTAACCCTACATCTCAAAGCCCTAGGAAAAGAAGAACAAAGCAACAGCAAAAGCAGTAGAAGACAGGAAATGATAAAAATCAGAGCTGAAGTCAATGAAATCAAAACAAAAGAAACAATTGAAAAAATTGACAAAACAAAAGTTGGTTCTTTGAAAAAAATAAATAAAATAGATAAACCCCTGAACATGCTAATGAAGAGAAAAAGTTACTAAAAATTACTAAAATACAAGATGAAGAAGGAAATATCACAAAAGACATGTCTGAAATGCCAAAGATAATTAGAAACTATTTTGAAAATTTATACTCCAATAAAATAAAAAAATATTGAAGACATCAACAAATTTCTAGAGACATATGACCTACCTAACCTGAGTGAGGAGGTCATACATAATTTAAACAGATAAATTTCAAGTAATGAAATAGAAAACACCAGCAAAATCTACCAACGAAGAAAATCACAGGACCACATGGATTCTCAGCCAAGTTCTAGAAGATTTTCAAAGAAGAATTGACACCAATACTCCTCAATGTATTCCATGAAACAGAAAAGGAAGAAACCCTTCCAAACTCATTCTATGAGGCTAATATCAACCTGATACCAAAACCAGACAAAGACACATCAAGGAAAGAAAACTTCACACCAATATCCCTGATGAACATAGATGCAAAAATCTCAATAAAATTCTGGCAAATTGCATACAAAAATATATTTCAAAAATAGTGCACCACAATCAAGTGGGGCTCATCACAGAGATGCAGGGTTGGTTCAACATATGGAAATCAATGAATATAATTCATCATATTAATAGACTTTAAAACAAGAGTCATCTGATCATCTCAATAGATGCAGAAAAAGCAGTTGACAACATACAGCACACCTTCATGTTCAAAACACTAGAAAAACTAGGGATAGTAGGAACATACCTCAACATTGTAATAGCTATATATGCTAAACCCAGGGCCAGCATCATTCTAAATGGAGAAAAATGGAAAGCATTTCTGATAAAAACTGGAACAAGACAAGGATGTCCTCTTTCACCACTTCTATTCAACATCAGCCTTGAAACTGTAGCCAGAACAATTTAAACAAAAGAAATAAATTAAAAGATACACATAGGTAATGAAGAACTCAAACTATCACTATTTGCTGATGACAAGATTCTATATGAAGATTATCTAAAAAATTCCACTTCTAGAACTAATAAATGAATTCAGCAAAGTAGCAGGATATAAAATCAATACCCATAAATCAAACGCACTCCTATACATCAGTGATCCACTGAAAGAGAAATTAGGAAAACTATCCCATTCACAATTGCCTCAAAAAAAAAAAAACCTCCTGGGAATATGACTAACAAAAGAAGTGAAAGACCTCTACAATGAAATCTACAGAATACTAAAGAAAGAAGTTGAAGAAAAACTCAGAAGATGGAAAGATATCCCATGCTCTTGGATAGGCAGAATTAACATTGTCAAAATGGGCCATACTGCCAAAAGCATTATAGAGATTTAATGCAATTCCTATTAAAATCCCAATGACATTCTTCATAGAAATATAAAAAGTAATCATTAAATTTATTTGGAAGAATAAGAGACCCAGAATAGCTAAAGCAATCCTTAGCAAGAAAAGTGAAGCAGGAGGCATCACAATACCAGGCCTTAAACTATAATACAGAGCTATAGTAACAAAAATGGCATGGTATTGGCACCAAAATAGACTTGTAGACCAATGGTACAGAATAGAGGACACAGAGACAAACCCACTAAACAATAGTGCCAAAAACATACATGGGAGAAAAGATAGCCTATTCAATAAATGGTCCTGGGAAAACAAGAGTCATCTGATCATCTCAATAGATGCAAAAAAAGCATTTGACAACATACAGCACACCTTCATGTTCAAAACATTAGAAAAACTAGGGATAGTAGGAACATACCTCAACATATGTAGCAAAATGAAATTAAACCTCTATCTTTCACCCTGCACAAAAATCAACTCAAAGTGGATTGAAGACTTAGGTACTAGAACAGAGACCCTCTACCAAACAGAAAAAAAATAGGCCCAAATCTTCACTATGTCACCATAGGATCTGACTTCCTTAACAAGACTCCTAAAGCATACGCAGTAAAATCAAGAGTCAATAAATGGGATGGATTCAAACTAAAAAGCTTCTTCTCAGCAAAGGAAACAATCAATAATATGAGGAGAGAGCCTACAGATTGGGAGAAAATCTTTAATACATCCACCTCCAATAAAGCATTAATAAAGCATATAAAGAACCAAAAAAAAACTTAACACCAAAAAAACAAATAACCCAATCAATAAATGGACTAAGGAACTGAACAGACACTTCACAGAAGAAGAAATACAATCCATCAACACATATATGAAAAAGTGTTCAACATCTCTAGCAATTAGAAAAATGCCAATCAAAACTACTATAAGATTTCATCTCACCCCTGTCAAAATAGCAATGATCAAGAACACAGGCAACAATAAATGATGGTGAGGATGGGGGTGAAAGGTTCACTCTTACATTGCTAGTGGGACTGCAAATTGGTGCAATGACTATGGAAAGCAGTATGAAGATTCCTCAGAAAACTCAGAATAAAATCACCATTTGACCCAGCTATCCTACTCTTTGGTTTATACCCAAAGGACTTAAAATCAGCATACTACCGTAATGCAACCATGTCAATGTTTATAGCAGCTCAATTCACAATAGCTAAACTATGAAATCAAACTAAGTGTCTCTCAATAGATGAATAGATAAAGAAAATGTGGTATTTATACTCAATGAATATTACTCAGCTTTAAAGAAGAGTGAAATTATGGTATTCACCAGTAAGTGGATGTAGTTGGAGAATATCAAGCTAAGCAAAAAAAGCCAATCTCACAAAACCAAAGGCCAAATATTTTCTCTAATGAGTGGATGCTAACTCACAATAAGGTGGGGGGCACCAGAGAAGAATAACATTACCTTAGATTAGGTAGAAAGAAGTAACGGGAGGGGAGGGGAAGTAATGTGGGGATAGGAAATGCAAATCAAAACAGAAAAATGAGAAATTATATCCCGTCTATGTATGATATATTAAAGTGTATAAATGCATTCTACTGTCATGCATAATTAATTAAAACAAATAAAAAATTAATAAAAGGCTGAATTTCATGTAGTCAGTGGGTAAAACTGACCTGTAATGAGCCTCAAACATATTTTTCATTAAAACAAGGCAAATGTACCCATTTTAAAGTTGAAAATATTGATCCAGTATATTTCTATTTCTGCAATATTACAGATGTCATAATTGTTGAATGTTAAAGTTGGAAGAAATTCTCCAATGTGACTTTGCAGACTTGACAAAGGACATGAAGGGCAATGTGGTGTGACTGTGGTTGCAGCGCCCATGAGGACCCAGGTGAGGTTGGTCCTGTGCGTGCCGCCACCCTTCCCTGGCTCTCCACTCACTGGACGGCCCTTGTCAGGAATCTGGTGATTCATCATGTTAAACTTCAACAAAACTTTCCTATCTGGTGAGGAAGTGGAAGAGATTACTGAATTGTTTTCTAGCTGCCCTACTTCCCAGGAGGAACAGGAAGTGATGCGTGGGAATTGACAGCCTCTGGAAGTTTCCCAAGATGCTCATGATCCGAGGAGACCACAGTCCTGGTAATCTCCCACTCCATGGTCTATTTACATTCTGCAGTTATTTTTATCCATCTTGTAACTTCCACTGGAAGGGCCATCCATTTTCCCTCATTAAAGTCTCTCCAAACTTTTCTAACATCTTGCAGGGATGCTGGCCAAGACATCCTGCTATTCAAAAGAG